CAGTCAAGAAAAACTAACATTAGATGCATTACAAAGAAGGTAAACAAATCACATCTAGAGAGCAAAACATACAGTTGAGGCCTTTTTTTGTTCTACCAAGTAGTTAACATGGCACAGTGGCTCAGGGGTTAACACTGTCACCTCAAATCAAATCAAATCACTTTTATTGTCACCTCATCAGCAGCACGTGTGCTATGATGAGTGAAAAGCTTGCAAATACAGTGCAAATACAACGACAGTGCAAAATACAGAGAGTGCAAAATACAGACAGTGCAAAATACAACAACATACAACAACATACTCCCAAAAAATATAGGACAATGTAAAATTAGCGAGAAGGTTGCTGGTTCGAGTCTTGGCTGGGCCAGTTGGCATTTCTGTGTGAAGTTTGCATGTTCTCTCCGTGTTCATGTGCGTTCCACCAGGAGATCCGGTTTCCCCCTCAGTCCAAAGAGCTGCGCTATAGGCGAATTCAGTAAACAAAATGGACCACAGTGTATGAGTGCGTGTATGAACGTGAGAATGAGGGTTTCTCAGTAGGCACTGGGTTGTGGCTGTAAGGGCATCTGCTGTGTAAAGAGTAGTTGGCAGTTCATTCCAATCGAGTCTGGCTGCAGATTTCCACTTGCACCTCCAGGCTTGCAAGCTCAGATTTACACGCTCAGGCAACCGCGCTTCTTCTGCAAGTGACGCCATTTACAATCGCCACCTGTGTCCGCTTGCATGAAAGTCCTTTGGTAATTTAACTTATGGGTGTCCCTGAGGCGGAAAAATCTCTGAGGTAACGAATTTCATTAAGGTCGTTGCAACAAACTTCTTATCTGTCACCCTTACCCGAGTGCCTTTTTATCTAAGTGTTTCACTGTGGTTTCTGACAACATACAATGTCGGGTGCCACAGTTGCTATATACGTAAACAGATCGTAACGAACCAAGAATGCTTGCCTTACAACAGCTCAGCAGTAATGTTACACATCATCTGTGCCGCTTTCTTTCAGTTAAGCAAGTCGAGACGTTCCCTTATAGAGTCGATCTTGACATTATGTTTGGAGAACCTATTGGATCATGTAGAGACTGCTGAAGCTGCGCTGCAACTGTGATTTCATACGGATGCACTCCTGCGCAGACGTGCTAACTTATCAAAAATAGCTATAACGAATAGCTTCCCAAGTCGTTCAGGAATCATTGCAGTAAGTCTATAATGTGTATCTGTAAGTTGTACTACAACTCCTTGAAATGTTTCAAATAAAAACTAAAATTCAAATTTGCCTGGTGTTTGTGGAAGAATACCTTGTGTGTATATTAAGGCTGATATTTAGTTGATATAAATCAGTGGTTCTCAAACTTTTTTCAAGTACCACCTCAGAAAAAAATTGTCTCTCCAAGTACCACCAAAATGAGCAGGATTGAAAAACAGTAGCGTAGTAGGTCCAGTAAAGCAGCTACAACTCTGCACAGTTAAAAAACGTGGCAGAAATATAGTCTATATGTCATATATGGCATATTATTTACATAATTTTTGTAAATTTTAAAATGTGTGTAGCATGTACATGACATATTTCATTTCTCTGCGTACCACTAGAAGGAAGCCTGCGTACCACTAGTGGTACAGGTACCACAGTTTGTGAACCACTGATATAAATAATACAGCCTGTTCTCACGAGAAAACGTAAGTATTTTACGTTTTGGCAGTTTAGTGGCTAATTCGTACGAGTTCAGTCGTAAGAAAATGCATGATTTTAAAAAGGAGGCGTGGCACCTAACCCCACCCCTAAACCCAACCGTCATTGGGGGATACGCAAATCGTAGTAAAATGTAAAAATTAGATCGTACGAATTTGTACGAATTAGCCACTAAATGAAAAAGTTACGAATTGCCGTGAGATTGTGTTGAAATAATAAGCTTTGCTGGAATGAATGTTAATAGTAGCCTGCTTTGGTAAATTCACAGCATATAATCATATGATTAGTATACTAACTACTTTTCTGTCATGTTGTACAACGTAAGTAGGCTACTTAGAATTATTTGACAACGTCGTCACTGGCAACGCAAACACACTGGAAACTTACTTTTGGTTTGTTTGTGTTGATTTAAAGTGACGTGACAGGTGGAGGTGTCGATTGTAAATGACGTCACTCGCATAGGAAGCGTGGGTGCCTGAGCGTGCAAGTCCGAGAGTGCAAGCCTGAAGATGCAAGTTCATCTCTGTAGCCAGACCCTGTTCATTCCGCTGTGGCAACCCCTAAGTTCCCCTAACCCTTAAGTTCCAACTAAGCCGAAGGAAATTAATAACAGCTAACATGTTAAAAACTATCTAGCAAAACATTTTTGTAAAGAGTCACACTCATAAACAGCTATTTGTGAATTTGGTTACAAATAAACGGAGGGCATATGAGCAAGGACGAATGGCCAAACGGGTTCACAAAGGAAAATAAATGAGTTATTTCACTGGCTGCCTCGTCATTACGCCCACCTACAGACCCAGTGTACATTTACTTAAAAATTCAGCACAATGGAGCTCCAAACACCCAGAACCCACGTCATCCGAAGGCAAAGCCGGCACATCTTCCAGTGAAATTAAAGAGCGCATATAAAACTGCAGCTTTAAATAAGCGCGGAGAGGCTTTAGCTGTGAGTCTGGAGGGTTGTAGTATCAGCCAAAGCAAGATAAAGAACGAGGGCAGTGGAGAAAAGAGATGTGAAATGAGCAGTGTTCAGATGATGGCAGGGTCGGGTGGATGCTGAGATGGAGCCTGCGGTCGCAGCACATGCTCACACCAGGAGGACAAGAGCTTATGAGACCCTCTGACTCACACGCACACACATGCAAACACACACACAGGCACCAACAGACAGAAAATAGAAATGTAGAATTTGACAATACAAAGAGCTATTTCTGACCAATTTAAAGGCCGATCACACTCAACGCAATCTTCTGTTCTGAGAATGTAAGGCGCACCGCACTGCCTTATGTTGTTGACAAGACAAAAAAGAAGTGCACTGCGCTTTTTATGTCGCTAGGCAACCGCTGAATCACCTGCGTGTTATTTAATAATATTGTGATATTCACGATTTCTGAAGTCATACGGCTCCAAATAACATGAAAAACAAGGTTGTTGCTAGATCGGATATGGTTGCGGCCCAAAGTTAATAAGAATAATTTATATTATTTACTATATTTCACATTTACTGTATTTTATTAGGCGACGCATCGACACAGTAGGTAGTGCTGTCGCTGGTTTGAGCCTTGGCTCAGTTGGCGTTTCTGTGTGGAGTTTGCATGTTCTCCCTTTGTTTGCGTGGGTTTCCTCCGGGTGCTCCGGTTTCCCTCACAGTCCAAAGACATGCGGTACAGGTGAATTGGGTAGGCTAAAATGTCCGTAGTGTATGAGTGTGTGTGTGTGATTGAGTGTGTGCGAAGCCCAGAGAAGGGTTGTGGCTGGAAGGGTATTCGCTGCGTAAAAACATGCTGGATAAGTTGGCAGTTCATTCCGCTGTGGTGACCCTGGATTGATAAAGGGACTAAACCGACAAGAAAATGAATGAATGAATGGTGTATTTTATTAAAGTCTACACCCACCCCAACCCTAAAACCAACCATCACAGTAACGTTAAAAGCAGTAGTTGTCATTCATTCATTCATTTTCTTGTTGGCTTTATTAATCCCTTTATTAATGCGGGGTCGCCACAGCGGATTAAACCGCCAACTTATCTAACACATGTTTTACGCAGCAGATGCCCTTCCAGCCGCAACCTATCTCTGGGAAACATCCATCCACACACACTCCTTCACACACATACACTACGGACAATTTAGCCAATCCAGTTCACCTGTACCACATGTCTTTGGACTGTGGGGTAAACCGGAGCACCCGGAGGAAACCCATGCGAAAGCAGGGAGATCATGCAAACTCCACACAGAAACGTCAAACCAGCGATCCAGCGACCTTCTTGCTGTGAGGCGACAGCATTACATACTGCGCCTCGGCTCAGTTGACGTTTCTGTGTGGAGTTTGCATGTCCTCCTTGCGTTTGTGTGGGTTTCCTCCGGGTTGTCCAACGTCAATGTCCAACATCAGATAGATGTTGCATTTTGGTCACTTTCCAACGCGACCTAAAATCAACCAAATATCAACATCTATTAATGTTACAGCTTGATGTTGTGTGAACGTTACCACTGTGATGTCTATCAGACGTTAGATTTTGGTTGCCATACCTGACGAATAAATGTCAGTATTTGACGTCAATAAGACGTTGGCTTAGGATATTGGCTCGACATTGGATTTTGGTCACCAACGCAACTTAAAAATAACCAAATATCAACGTCATTTGACGTCGTTATTAGACATCAAAATAAAGCACTTCGAATTTTGGTCACCCGACATCATGACCTAAATCTAACCTAAATTTAACGTCTTATGATATTGTGTGCCTGCTGGCATAATATATCGTTTAACTTGATTTTCTTATTTTGAAACTTGATAACTCATGGACAACTTCGGATGTTGTTACATGGGCCGGTGCAGCATGAACATTCTACTGAAGTTCTCCTTTTCATGTTTCACACACACAAAAAAAACTGCTATGATGTAAGTACGAGCTTTCTTTGCTTAATTGGCAAAGGTCCAAAGAGCAAAATCTGTGCTGCTGGCCTGCCAGCTGTCATAATAATCGGACTGCACAAACTCGCTCATGTCGAAACTTCCACTCTTAGCAGAAATTACAGCCATTAAAACAACCACAACAAGCATATCAGCATAATAAGCCTCTCCTTAATGTGGTTTAGAGGCTAATGTGAGGCTAATCTAGTCAAGGGTTAACAGAAAACACGCAGAAAACAGGCCTTGCGTGGGTTTTTCTGGATGTCTGAGTAAGCAGCACTCAGGGGACATGAATGGGCCAGTAGTTCATCCCACAGCACACACATACAGGCATACAGATCTTAACAAACACAACCGATGACAGCCTGTGCGAGTGAAATAAATAAAGCCATTTACTCACATCTGTGTCTGGGCCCTTATCGGCCCCTGGACAGGAGAAGGACACAAACTCATGGCACCTTTTGTGGACCACAAAACAGCACACTGCGGGTGAGAAGAAAAGGAAATTAGAGAAAACTGTTTCATAAATAAATAGAAAAGCCATACATCAAACCAAAGATCAGTTTGTCATTGAAGATTCCTTTCATTTTAAAAAAATGCCACTTATATTTTAGTGTCCCTGCTGAAAAAATCCAGCTTAAACCGGCTTAGGATGGTTGGCCAACCAGCCTGGTTTTAGAGGGGTTTTGGCCACTTCCAGGCTGGTTTTCAGCCATTTCCATCCTGGTCTTAGCTGGTCAGGCTGGAAAGTGACCCGCTAAAACCATCTAAAACCAGCTTGACCATCCTGGTTTAAGCTGGACATAGCTGGTTTTGGCTAGGTTTTAGGCTGGTCAAGCTGGTTTTAGCTGGTCATCTCCCAGCCTGTCCAGCTAAAACCAGGCTGGAAGTGGCCAAAACCCCTCTAAAACCAGGCTGGTCGACCAGCTAAAACCAGCCAACCATCCTAGGCTGGTTTAAGCTGGATTTTTCAGCAGGGGTTACATTAGTCTTTACAGTTTTTTTCAAACTGCTTACACACGTTTTCAAAACAGTGTGCCCTTTTTTTCAAAACTTTTACATACAATTGTAAAAACTGCACACAGAAAATGCAAAATGCCTCACATTTCCTTCAAAATGTAACACTGCATTTAAAATGCCATAAACACACGTTAGAATGAAGCATTAGCACCAAATGGCAAATGCGTCTTTCATGATATAACACTTTTGGATATAGCATGTCAACACTGTTGTTCTATATCTAAAGCTCTTTGCTCTTTAGGCTTCTATCTACATTCCAGTACAATGTTCTACAGTGAGAGTAATCTGCTGAGAAGAGTAACAGGTACACTGTGAACAGATAATATTTACAGTTTTTCCCAATTCATTCTTTCATTCATTCATTCTCTTGTCAGCTTAGTCCCATTATTAATCCGGGGTCGCCACAGTGGAATGAACCGCCAACTAATCCAGCAAGTTTTACGCAGCGGATGCCCTTCCAGCCGCAACCCATCTCCAGGAAACATCCACACACACTCATTCACTACGGACAATTTAGCCTACCCAATTCACCTGTACCGCATGTCTTAGGACTGTGGGGGAAACCGGAGCACCCGGAGGAAACCCACGCGAACGCAGGGAGAACATGCAAACTCCACATAGAAACGCCAACTGAGCCGAGGCTCAAATGAGCGACCCAGCGACCTTCTTGCTGTGAGGCGACAGCACTACTTACTGCACCACTGCTTCGCCTTTTTCCTGATTGTTTACACACATTTACTTGTACTTCTGACGCAATGACTATAACATGTGACTGATGCACCAACCCCCTGAACCAATTCTGCTAAACTACAAGCACAATTCCGGCTTTACACTCAAATTGCAATTTTAAAACACCCTTTTTAAAAACACTACACACAATTCTCTGCATTTGGCACAGTTTTCATGCAGGAAATCTCTTGTTTTCACAAGGAACACACTGTCATTCAGGGTGCTTTCACACCTACACTTTTGTTTCGGAACGTGTCTTGTTTGCCCAGTTAGCGCGGTTCGATTGGCATATGTGAACAGGGCAATCGCGCTCTGTTCCGCACCAAAGTAATCGCTCCGAGATCGGTTGAATGAGGTGGTCTCGGCTCGATTGAAACGAACCCTGGAGCGGTTCGATTGCAGTGAGAAAGCGATCCGATCCAAGTGCGGTTATATCACAGTGTTTTATGGATATGTAATAGGCTTACGGCTATATGAAAAGAGAATTATGAGTTTGGCGGGAAGTTTCGCGAGTCTCCGGATGCCCGCAAACGAGTGATGATCTCCCGGTAATCTCGCGTCTCTTTCCCAGTCCTCAAATAGGCATCGTCGCGCACCCTTCTCACCCCTCCCCACCGCATCTCTCCTCAGACACATCGCGCGCGCGCACCCTGTCAATCACCATCAAACCACCACCTCTCCTGATACCTTAGCGGGACACTGCAAAATAAACCCTGACACTCTGACCAATGTGAGGAGAGTTTACTCGCACGTGACTTGTTTTAGCTATTTTGGTCCGTTTAGAAACTTTGCAATGTGAAAGCGAACCGCTCCAAGAGCAAAGAGCAACAATGTAACATTTTTAATCTCTGTTTCGGAACAACTGAATCAATCCACAGGTGTGAAAGCACCCTCAGAATTGTAAAGTCAGTTATCCTACTTTGCATACCAACTCATCATATGAAAACACCTGTCACACAGAATTGCAATTTAGGAAACAGAGCTCAACTTTTTCACAACTGTTTCACTGCCAACGACGTCTTTTATTTGTTTATTTCTCAAACCTTTTGAGGACAGGTTGTGTGATGAGTCCTTGATCAGATTCCAGCTGTGTGTGTGTAATCATAGGTGAACCGGAACAGGTGTGAGTGAGGTGCATGACAGGATTTGTAGTTCATATGGTGACAGGATCGTAGTCCGAGTGAAACCGAATGTTTACCAGTAATCTGCAAGCCTGGATCACAGGTGATTGTGACTGATGATGTACAAGAGGCATCATTGAGGGAAAACATATTGTTTTCTCAGCTTTTATTTACATTTAAACACAAACTTTAAGCTAGAATTTGCCAGGTGTATGAATAATTTTGCACTTGACTGTATATGAAATAAAACATTGACAAAAAAAAACTAAAAACATTCATCAATAATTGCCATTGGTCAGATCCTATTGCTTTTATGGTATTTTAATGCCGCATCCTAATAAATGTATCAAGCCGGTTTGTTTCGGTTATAGTTACATGACTATAAAAAAATCTAAATAATGGAAAAATAAATATCAGAAACATTCTACAAACTATTTTTTCCTACAAACCAGTTGTTTGTGCTGATTAATATCCATGCACAAGAATACACTAATTTATTGTTGTATAACTGTCACATGGGCCCTGTTTTGTGTTGTTCCCTTTGTTCTGCTCCCCGCACATCATTAGTTTCCATGACATTTCATTAATCACCACAGGTATTAGTTTTCAGTTCATTTATTCTCCCTGTGTTCAAATCAACTCAGCGTTTACTCTCCCTCAAGTGGTTGTAAACCTTTATGCGTTTTTTTTTTTATAAAAAAGAAGTTATTTTGAAGAAAGGTGATTAACTGTAGCCATTGACACCTATAAAATGTTTAAAGGTCCCATGAAGTGCTTTGAAATGTGCATTTTTTATTCAATGTTTGACCTAATCTCAATTGAAGATTGGAACATAGAGTAGCCTCTCCCCTATAACCCTATCAGATGTGTGTATTGAATAGCTGATCCTTTTGTGTGAGCATTGACCATTATCAAAGAGCATTGGAGATGACACTCTGTTGCTATTTGTAAAACAGACAAGCCATTCTAGAGTGAAAATTCCAATAGAACAACAGCACGCATAACTAACGTTAGACAGAATGAATTAAATTATTAGGGTAAATATTAAATCAAATTTTATAAATTCATACACCCCCATTGAAAAGTAACATTTTAAACCATATCTCTAAGAAAAGAAAACAATTTTCAAAATGTTGACAAGACATTGACAAGAAAAGTTGAATATAATCTGTTTAATTTATGACATGAGAGTATGACTATAAAATAACCTGAATTACTATTTTTTTTATTTATTAAAATTAGGGTGATTCAAAAATGAGGTAAAAAAGGGGGTAAATTGAGCTTTGAAAAATAAAATGAAATTTTGCTAACAAAAATAAAGAACTGCAAATACAAATCAAGTAGTGCAAAAAGTATTGTTTTTGTTTTTTTTTTTTGCAATTTTTTAAAAATATACATATATTTGCTTTAAAAAAAAAAATCCAATATTGCCTTTACAAAACCCCTCAAGTCAATTGCAATGCTCATTTTGATTTGCTTTTCAGTCAACCCTGAGTTTGTGATGCTGTTTTCTTTTTGCTGCCACATTTTGTGGATTTCACTTTAGCCCCGTTTACACTGTCAGGTCTTGATGCCCAGTTCCGATTTGTTGCCTATATCTGATTTGTTCGCCTGTCTGTTTACACATTATATTAATTGAGACCCATATCCATGAATCGCTGTCATCAATCTAATCGAGATTAAGTAAAATACCTGAATCCTTTGTTTTTAGGGGAGCTGTTTAAATCGTCTAACAGTAAAACTAACTAATCAAAATGAGTGTTGCAACTGACTTGATTTTTTGTAAAGGCAATACTGAAAAAAATGTGCAAAAAAAAAAAAATAAAATAAAATAAATATATATATATATATATATATATATATATATATATACACACACACACACACACACACACACACACACACACACACACACACACACACACACACACATATATATATATATATATATATATATATATATATATATATTTTTTTTTTTTTTTTTTTTTTTTTGTGCAATTTGCAATTTGCAATTTTTTTTTTGCACTGCTTCATTTTTTTATTTGCAGTTCTTTATTTTTGTTTAAAAAGTTCCTTTCTCAAAGCTCATTTTGCATTTGCATTTTTAAATAAAAATTTGCTCAATATTTAATTTTTTGTTAACAAAAAATTCTTGTTGAAAGTATAAATGGCCCTAGATTGACTCCATAGGACTTGTACTTGCAAAGTTTCCTATAGTCAGTTAAATATCTGTTGAAGGAGCGGTATCAACAGATATTAAGCAGACAGTCTACTAATACTCAAGAAGACCATCAAAATTTATATGGATTTGCAACATTCTTTCTAATACCTTCTTTTCTGTTATACATAAGAAATAAGCTTGGTCCCACTTTATATTAAGTGGCCTTAACTAATATGTACTTATACAGGAATTAATAGTTTGTTACAATGTACTAATTGTGTAAATACATGTATTTACTGTGTACTTATGCTTGATTAAATACATGTATGTAATTACATCTGTAATTAACTTTTGTAATCACATTTGTAAATAGACTGTGGACCATCCCTTTCACCTTAACCCACCCTTAAACCTACCCAGGCCACCAAACCTGTCCATAACCCAACCTC